GGCTGTCCCTGAGCCTCACCACAGCCTGTGGGCCCTGGGGTTTGGAACATCCTTTCGGGCAGTTTAGAATGTGTCTGTTTGAAAGTGGGGTGCCCTGTGAGAGGAAGCATTCTCCCTTCTGACCAGTGAGCCCAGTCAAGATTATCTCACAGGTGGTACCTGTCCCTCCGTCCCCCAGAGAGTGAGGCGTTATTTATTACTCCATGTGGGGACCCATTCGGTTAGGACCACATACCCAGCAGGTACCTCTCCTTGATCGGCAAGGAAACACCTCCCACCCCCATTCTTTGGGGGAGACCCATGCACAGGTTGAAGGCCCACCATCTCTCAGTGGCTGGAGAACAGAGGAAGGAGGAAACCCCAGGGACAGCATCCTCAGGATAGGAAAACGAGGCCCCAGGTCGTAAGGATGTCAGGGGCAGCCCCTCGGGTCCCCAGCTCCATGCTCTACATCTCCTCTTGCAGGACGGCACTGACTGAGGTGCAGACAGCTCTGTCGCAGTGCCAAGGCACCGAGTTGCAATGCCCAAGGGAGCCGTGGGGTTACTTTGGGCCCATGGCTGCTGAAGCCTGAGAAGCAGACAGCACTCTCCCCTGGGGCTCTCCCCTGGGCACGGGCTCCTGGGAAATTTCAAACTCAGACACAGGCTGACCCCTGGTAGCCTGCTGCCTGCTGACCTGGGTGGCAGCCTTGAATCACTGAGCTGTGGGGGCCCGGCCTTCTAACCCCGGGGGTCTGGCCTTCTTTCCTAGGTGGCTCTGCGGATCAGACCCATCAGCGTGGCGGAGCTGGAGGAAGGCGCCACCCTCATCGCCCATAAAGTGGATGAGCAGGTACACAGAGTGTGACCAGAAGCTGCCAGGGAGGCAGGGGTCTGTTCAGGTCTCAGAGCTCACCTGGTAGGAGCAGGAAGGGTCCCCGTGGCTGGCAGCACCGTCCTTTCTCTACCTGCTGAGCGCTTAGCTATGTCAAGGAAGCCTGGGCTTTTCTTCCAGGAAGCCTTGCTAGATTGAGCCAAGGAGACCTGAGTGCTTCCCTGGCCCTAGTCACAAGCCTTCTGTGTGCCTGAGACCTAACTTTCCCATCTTAATGTGTCTGCTACCTACGGAGCATGCATTTATATCGTCTAGAGCACTGGTGGTACGGTGGTTAAAACTTTCAGCTGCTAACCAAAGGGTTGGCGGTTCGAACCCACAAGCTGCTTCACGGAAGAACAATGAGGCAGTCTGCTTTCGTAAAGATTGACAGCCTTGGAAGCCCTGTGGGGCAGTTCTCTTCTGTCCTATAGGGTCTCTGTGAGTCAGCATTGACTCGAGAGCAGTGGGTTTTGCTGGGTAGACTAAAGCAAGGTCCCTAAGTGCTGCAAACAATTTGCGCTCAGCTACTAATTGAAAGGCTGACGGTCTGAGTCCACCCAGTGGTGCCATGGAAGGAAGGCCTGGGGCCTCCGTAAAGATTACAGCCAGGAAAACCCTATGGAGCCGTTCGTTCTGTAACACGTGGGGTCTCCATGAGTCACAATGAACTTGACGGCAGGGGGTTTGCTTTGGTTTGGTTTGAGCTAAAGCTCACCTCCAGGGTGTCCAGGCTTGGCAGAGTCCTTAGGTGTCTGTTTACTCCCTTGGTCCTCATGGTACCGTAATGGGACAGGCAGGGAAATTGTCTCCCCATCTACACACGAAGCAATAAATATTTATTAGGTATCCACAAGCTGCTGGGTGCTGTGGAGATGACAGTGAACAAAAAGGCCCTGTCCTACCCCGGGTCTCCTTGCAGTCAGGTGTGTAGGGAGAAAACCTAAAACCAAACCAACTGCCATCAAGTCGGTTCCAACTCATAGCAACTCTTTAGGACAGAGTAGAACTGCCCCATAGGGTTTCCATGGCTGTAAATCTTCACAGAAGCAGACAGCGTCATCTTTCCCCCACAGAGCAGCAGGTGGGTTTGAACTGCCAGCCTCTTGGTTAGCAGCCAACTGTTTTAACCACTACGCCCCCAGAGCTCCTTCGTGTGGGGAGAGGAGTTATTAATCAAAGAATAGAGTCTCAAACAAATGATATTGCAGCTAACAGGGTCACAGAGGTCTGCATAGTGTAAGAGAGCAAGGAAGAGGGGCCCTGACCTGGCCTGGAGGTCAGGGGAGACTCTCTTAAATGGTGCTGCTCTGAAACATAAGGAGGGGTCACTAGGGGTATGTGTGTACACGTCTACCAGAGGGACTTGCACGTGCAAAGGCCCTGCGGTGGCAGGGTGCAATTGGGTAATTGAGGAAGGCCAAGGTGGCTCACACAGGAGAGGAAGGGGCAAGAGGCGTGAGATGAGGCTGGAGACTGGCAGGTGCCAAACCACACCCTGTAGACGCTGGCCAGGACACTTGTTTGAGCAGGAAGTTAAGGACTCAGGTGTGGGGTCACGGTGGGCACAGTGGAGCGGGCAGCAGGAGCAGGCTTGGTGCCCAGGGGTGGTACATCGTGGTGGTACAGCCTTTGGGGAGCCTGGCAGCAGCCCTTTGTCTCTGCTCAGTGAGCAGCACTGCCGGCATCTCCCACAGGCAACAGGATGTACTGGTGGCTCCGAGAAGTCAGGGTGACATTACAAAGGACAAGTGGGGACTTCTTGGGCCTGGGCCCAGCAGGCCGGACTCACTGATGCTGAACGACCATGATAAGCAAACGGGAGGTGGACATTGCCACTCCCAATGCCTCATCCCTCTGGGCTCTTCTCAGCAAGTGCCCAGCCCACCTTCTTCCTTTGGCCTCGATGGTGGAGTGGGGCGACCGGTTTTCTCTTCCCTCTTGGAAAAGGGCAGTCTCACCCATAGTCTTCGGGAAAAGCAGGAGATGGTGGGAAGACCCCATCTAAACTGGTTGGGCCCAGCCGGGGCAGCTGGCAGTGAACGCACATCCACTTAAGTAGGGTAGGTTCTGCCATTGCCAGGGGTGTGGCCTTGGGCCCCTTCTCCAGGAGCCTCAGTTGCTCATCTGTAAACAGGGATGATAATCCCTAGTACCTTCTCTACAGGGTCTTCATGGGCTCATGCATACACGGTGCTCCCCGTGGTGCCTGGCACATGTTGTTGGCTGCTGGCAAGTCAGCACTTGACTCATGGTGACCCCATGCACCATGGGGCAAAACGCTGCCCGGTCCATTGTGATATGTAGGGTTCTCCCTGGCTGATTTTCTAGTGGTAGGTCACCAAGCCTGTCTTCCTCATCTGCCTTAGTCTAGAAGCCCCTCTGAAGCCTGGTCAGCATCTTGGTAACACACCAGCCTCCACTGATGGCTACACATGAGCTTGGTTCTCCCACAGGGAAGGCGAGATTCTGCCAACGCACCACTCCTACTCTCCTTCCTGCCACAAAGCGTTAACAAACATTAATAAACGTTAGCTGTTGTCTACCAGCAACAGACGCTCCCCCGAGCTGCAGGATTGGCTGAGGAAAAGGGCCAGCCTGGAAGAGCCAGAGAGCTGTGGGGGAGTGGGGGGGAAGCCTCCTCCAGCCAGGGCCACTCCTGCTCATCCACCTGGTCCCCCAAGGATATCAGGTCTGTAGCCTGGGACAACGGTGTCCCTCTCTCTGCTGCTCATGCTCCGGGCCAGAATGGGGGCTGATCACATTAACTGCTGCTGATAAAAGACCCTTCTAGGGTGCAGCCCATGGTGAGCCCATACTCAGCCAACAGTGAGCTGGCTTTCTGTCCCCGCGAGTGGGGAGAGGCATCCTGGGTCCAGCCGAATCCAGCCGAGCTCCCCCAGGGGCTCAGGTGTGGAACCCGAGCCTGGCAGGCCTAATCGGGCCGCCCATTTGTGAGCAAGGGCTCAGAGAGGGAGTCTGAGCCACGTGGGCTCAGCGTCCCAAACCCGGATTCTGAGTCCAGCAGGGAGAGCCTCAGCTTCCGCCCTGAGCACCTAGGCGTGGGTTCAAATACGGCCTTCCATTGTGGCCTAGCCCAGCCCTCCTGCCCAAAGCTGCAGCCTGGGAGTGGGCACAGCAAATGCCAGGCCGGGCACCTCCTAAAGCCAGCAATCTCTCCATCTGTGGGCAGCCGAGCAGCCCAGCGGGTACCCTCAGCGAGGGAGGCTGGTGCTGCCACAGCCCGCCTGTCAGTGGTTTGGAAAGAGAAGAGGTAGGCTGGGGACTCAGTCACCTGTTGGCCTGAGCCACAGTGAGGGGCCCTAGGACAGCCTTCCTTAGTGCCCTGTATCTTTTCCTGGGGAGGTCTGAACGTGGCAGGTGGTACAACACAGCTTTGCGGAGGGTGGACTGGCCCACAGACGAGGTGCCCTCTGGGGACAAGAGGGCCTGCGGTGCTTGCACTCTGGGGAGCTCGAGTTGGGGTTTGGATGCCTTAGGGGGCCAGTTCAGGTGCTTTGGCAGGCCCATGATCTTAGGGTCCTGTTTAATTTGAGAGCGCTTTACTTGAAGGGCTGACCTATGGGGAGT